TGTAGAGATTAGCCTTTTGACTTTGACAAGGCCATTCGAGCAAACAGATGAGCTTTTATGCTTTTATATCAACCATTTTCTTGTTACTTTGGATGTATGTTCACTGTTGTGCTGCTGTCAGGCATCTAGCAGTTTTTCCTCCAGAGCTGCCCTGTGTTTTGGCCCATCCATGTTTTTTTTTCATCAGCTCTGCCTGACTCCCCTGGGTTCAAGATGACATGCATTGCAAGATTTATGTCAGAAGGTCACAAAGTTTAGCTTTATATGAACATTTGTGCTGTATAACCAGAGCACATTCCTCCACATTTTTGCAGGCTTTTTCATGAGCTTCCTGATTAACTGGATGCCAGACTCTTTCTATTTTCAGGTGATAGACTGAACAATGATGTTCAAAGCTTGTATACGATTTTGTAACCCAAATCTGCTTTAAAACTCTATGAGTTTGTCTTCCCTGATGTTCATAATACTGTTTTCTGAATAAGCTATGGAAACCCTAAGAGTTTGTTGGTGATAAAACCTGAAAAAAAATCTACCCATCTGACTACTTTTACAAAGCACTGTATAAAGATCTGTTTTAATCATTTTTGAGTGTTAAAAGGGTTAGAAGAAAAGACATAACCCTTTTGGTCCCCGAACCCTACAAAATCAAAGATCCCATACAGTGTGCTTCCTTGTGTATGGTCCGATTCAACGCGCTTGAATTGATTGGACACAGTAACGCCGGTTTCCTGGACCTTGCTTAAAGATTTATAGCAGAGCTGAGACAATCAGCATAAGTAGCACAACAGAAACTGGATCCAGGAAAAGTGCTATCCTTTACAAGACCACCTGTTGAATCTGGAGATGGGTGCAGTCCTCTCAAGAGGATTAGGGGCTTGTTGCGCTTCATCTATTTTTGGCAAAGGAAAAGCTTGTCATAATTCTGCTAATGGGATGATTCAAGCGGCTCTTGCTTTACGGATAAAAGGCAAGATGAGACCTGGAAAGTTTTTAGATGTATTTTGAAAGAAGACATAACTCTAAATGTTAAATTTCTGTCTTTTTTTTTTTGGGGGGGGGGGTCATTTTCTAATTCTATTGTTTCTGATTTCGGTGGAAGATGGTGTCTGTGCTCAGAGAACCCCTGATCATCTACTAATGTTTTCATTCTGTACGGTTGGGCTTGTCAAATAAAACTGAGATGGTGTGTGCATATTATGAATAAACTAGGTTAAGAAACCTTTTTCCCCTAACCCTAATGTAAAGGTTTATTTTTCATCAAGCAAATATAGATGAGAAAATCTAACTTGCAAACTGCTGCAGTGTATGCATGGTCCCTGCATGTGTCACATAGTTTTACTAAGCCATGAGGAAACAAAAAATAAAGAGCCGTGCAGCCTTTTGAGCTGCTCAAGCTCCTGGCACCTAGCTCTCACCAAGCGAGCTAACACAAATGTCGCTAGCAACAAAAGCCTCTGCCAGGATGAGCACATTGATGATTTAGCGGTTTGTTGCTGTGCTGCATGCTGCGGTGGGGTTGGACGTGAGACCAAGAGGCAGACTGGGACCGAGTTAACCTCCTTGCAGACTGCAACATGAGGATGCTGTCTCGGTGGAGCCAGTCACAAGCAGCGCTGGGCTCAGATACAGCATCGGGATGGTAAATTATGTGTCACATGTCTTAGTACCCCTCAATCATTACAGGCACTCAATGGAAAATAATTTCATAACAACAACAACAAAAATTTCTGTTGCCCAGTGATTCATACATTCAGTTTTTCTAGATAATCATTCTGCTCCTACTTGGGAACGGTGCTTTGCCAGCAGTCACCCTTCTCTACCTGCTCCTTTTTCTTGTGAATTATTGAAAGGGGCAATCATCTGAGATTAAATTCAGTCAGGAGATAAATGGGCCCAGATATAAACCTTGCAACAAAAAAGCTTCACTTCATGACTGATGTCTCGACTGGTATCAGATAAAACCAGCAATCATATTTATTATTTATGGGAGGGAAATTAAATGTGCAGGACATGACTAGCCCGGTACTGTTTCCCTGTGTTTACTGGGGCTTCTTGTGTACCTGTTTATTGTGATGTCTGAAACTCTTCTGTCAGGAGAATTGCTGGGATTTTCCACTAAACTGTTCTGGTGACTTCCCCGGGATAATAAATGTACGATCTTCCCCAGAGCCAAACAGGCTTTCTTTCTGTTTTCATTTGCACCATCAATAGCAACGCCACAGTAACAGAATACACTATATTCCTGTGGTTGTTTTGTGTGTCAACCAGTCACCACACAGTTGTGTCACACCATTTTGCATCATTCTGGGTAGAGCTGGGTACTCTCAGACGGTGGGGAGCCCTTCGTGGCCGGTGACGTCCACAGGAATTGCTGTTCCTTGCGAAACATAACAGTTTGTTCATGTGACTTGCTTCTAGTACCTGCGTCTACATAGGACATTTCTGAGTTCAAAGAACCATTTTATTTGTGTCCATGAGGTTATTTGTGTGACTTTCATTCCATAGCAATGTTAACTTTGAACATAATGCAAGAGGGGATTCTCATTGCCTAATATGGTCTTTGACAGCCGATATTATTTCAGTTTAGAGCTAGAAAACTGTGATAAGTAATATATATATTGATAATCTGCAGATTACAAGTTTGGTTAAAAGCCTTTTTTTTTTTTTTTATCAAACTGAGCCATTTCAGTTTTGTCCTCAAAAACAGGAAGAAAACGGGAAGCCTATCTACCTTTCTGTAAAAAATTAAAAAAAAAGATTTGTAATAGAAACATGTTACTTGGATATTTCTCTGCTTATTGGTGAGACACAAAAAGACGTAGTGAGTACTTTTGTTACAAAAATCATCTCTGCTATGTGCGTGAGCTCTATGGAAGCAAACAGGCAATCCACCAAAAATTGTCTTTTTGAAACAAAAAACAATTTTCGTACAAGATTAAGAAAGTGTCCCTAAAACTCGACTCAACACAAAAGGTCTCCACAGCAAATGTATCAGTTTCCTTCATACCAAAAAATGTCAAAAGGGCAAACGAACCATGACTCAGTTTCTTTGAGAGTTTTTGTTTACAAGGCAAATTTTCACATGACTTAAATTCGCAGACTAATCCTCTGTACAAGTCCAACAAGAAATTCAAGTTCTTAAATACTTTCAGGCTTTACCACATGAATTTTCCTTACATAGAAACAATCATGCAAAAATGAAGGGAACTCCTTGTTAGATCAGTTTGTGGTGTAGGTTATACAAATCTCTGCTCAGGGCCATGTTAATGTGAAACATCTAAACATCGCAAGACTCCAAAGTTATGACATGGCAAAGAAACTAAATCACCCACATCAGTTTTTGGCTTTCATTTAGAAAGTCAAAAGGCATGGAAACCTTAATTTTGAATGGTCATTGCTATTTTTAACTATAAGACCTTTTTAAACTTATGTCTTTGTCTTTCTTCGCGAAAGGAAAACTTTTGCCCTTTTTCTCTGTTTGTTTGGGCTTAATTGACAAACCAGGTACTGTGTTGCTCAGGTTTCGGCGTGAGTGTAACTTCCCCCATAAAGGATTTCCTGTCACAACAGCAAAAGGTCTTTGTTTGAGTTTGGCCCGTATGTTAAGAATACTCTTTAGTAATCGGAGACATTAGACTTTTAATTTGAAACCTTGTGCTCATCTCAGGTTCTCCTATGCTCTGTAACCACACACAAAAAAGGAAGAAAGTGAAATCTGAACATTTTCAACAGGTGTTTGAAATGAAAGATGAAAGAGCAGAGGAAGTTGCTGTTTGCAGACAGTCTGTTTACTGCTGGTCGGAAACACTACAAAGAACGACAAGCACCGAACATTCAGCAGATCCCTCAGGACTCACTTTGGTCTCCCCAGGTTGTCCCTCTTAAAACCTGAGCATTCAAAGATAACCACCTCGTGAAACCATACGCCTCTGAGAGCCTGGCACCATGTACGTAGTTGTGTGTGTGTGTTAGAGGGAAAGTGCTAGTCTGATGTAGAGGAGTTGGCGTGGTTAGGAATGCAAAGATAAAGCAGCACAGAGCCACACCTCACATAGAAAACACAGACCCACTCTATGATTTTCAGCCCCCTTTGTTGCCTCGGATGATGCAGTTCGTCAGCTGAGTCTCCATTTTTGCATTCCTATACCTGTCCCTGCAGGCTCGACCGGTGATTATGAAACTCAGCAAACGCTGACACATTTATGCTCTCCTTAGCATTCCTTGACGGAGAACATCTTATGTAATGTTTGCCTTGATTAATAATAATAATGATACAAAAAGCTTTTGATCATCACTTAATGGAAAACTTTGGTATTTTTGAAGGGAGGTTCTAGTAAAAGTTTAAAAGCGGTTAATATGTTAGCTGGTGTATAAAACTCTTTCTGTATTACCACATGGTGTAAGATAGTTGGATCTTTAGGCTATCAAAAAAGATCATACAAATGCAATCTTGTGAAACTTTAAATGATCATAAATAACGTAACTAACTTTGCAAATAAGCGAATGTACCTTTTGCAATAAAAATAAAGACAGTGTGCTGCCAATGGTCTTCTAGTGTGAAACATGCACAGAGAATGGAATATCAGAGTATGTGATATAAAAATAAAAGAAGTGGAAATAAAAAACATTGAAGTTTGAGTGTGCTTTTATTTTAACACTGACTTGCTTTTGTAGGTTATTCTAACCAAAAATGCCTTAAAACGTCTCTTCTCAGAAGAGAAAATCAAAGGAACTGACTAAGTTTTAATGTTGAAGCTACACACACGTCTAAACCTGATTTACACCTACTCATTTAATCTAGAGGTAGGCTAAGCAAATTATCCTGACTACGATGTAGCAAACCACCATCAGTGAGTGAGTAACTGATTGTAGTCTGAAGTGCTTTGGAGTCCTCTGACTTTGTTTATCCTCCTGAGACCCAGAGAAAAAAATGTTTTGAATTTCTTTTTTTTTTACACTACATGACTCTTAGGAGTGAAAAAACATCACTACAATTAACAAAATGTCAAAACATGTTTTTATTTATTTTTTAGAGTATGTCCTTTGGAGAGGACATCGGGACTCTCTTGTGGCAAATATGAACACATTTCGAGGCATACATTGACCTCTGAACTCTGACAAATCTTTAGTGCTGTAAATTTCAAAGAGCTACATCATTTAAGCCAGTGGTTCAGATTTCCAGGCACCTCATTCAACTTATCAAAAGCAAGCTGATTAGTGTAGTTTAATCAGGTGTGTTAGTTCTGTTTTGGTTTGTGGTAGTCCATAAAGCAGTTCTTCTTCTTTGAGATGCAGGGGTACATGTTGCTTTTGATGCACTTTTGTAGGTTTTTCCAGTGCACCCTTCTGCTCTGCACCTGGAAGTATTCGGATTGTCCATCATCTTTGGCAAATGGACAGCTCCATACTTTCTCACTTCCTGATCTGGCTGGGGCCTCCTTCTCTTCTGTGATGGAACATACTCCTCATCATTCGACGCATCAGATTCAATTGGATTGGGTTGGCCTGAGTGCCCCTGGGCAATCAGTTCCTCACCTAAGAGCAGTTTGAAGTCATGGTATTAGAGAGTTTTCTTCATAGGTTGTGCCAAAGCTTGGCTGTCTTCCTTATACTGTAACCAGGAGTTGGTGATGGCCAGATCGAAGAAGTGTAGGATTGTGCATACAGTCTACAGGCAGGAATCCTAAGAGACAGACAAATACGTTAAATAATTATGTCCTCTAAAAGTGATAGTTCATCCAAAAAATACTCTAATCTGTCTAAGCTTATCTACTCTGGTCTCAGAAACCTACGTGTTAGTTTTGGTCCAAAGTGGGCGACGGGCCCTTGCATCCTCAACTTCACTCTCCTCTTCCTCACTTGATGCCTCATCCTCTGAACTCCCGACCTCAAAATCACCGTCATTCTGTCCTTCTTGGTCCTCCTCATCTGACAAATCTATGTCTGAGTCTCCATCAGTATTCCTGTTTAGGATTTTCTCTGCCTCAGTCAGTGAGCTGACTTCTATTAAAACAGGTTAAAAAATAAAAAGCAAATCCTGATGTCCTCTATGGAGGACACACATAAACAGGTTATGTTTTATGCCAACAAATAATTAAACTGCTCTGAAAATTCACCTAACTATTCCTTAGATGTTCATTTACTAGAAGCAATCTGAATATTAAACTCACAAATCTCATAATTAGAAAATAATATACTTACCTTTCTTCTTTTGATAAAATGTGCTCACAGGGATGGCAGGCAATTTGAAGAATCAGGAAAAAAATTTCTGAAAAGCCCCACCCCCACATGTCATATCATTGGAGAGCCCAGGATGTCCTCTCTAAGGACCAACAGGATTTAACACAGTGGCATGTATGGTTTCAGAATTATGAACAAAAAACCTATGTACTCCACAGAGGACAAAAATGCATTGCTGGGTCTCAGGAGGATATCTGATAGCTAAAACTTTTGCACAAAATAGTAAATGTAGCACAATCTGACAACTATATTGACACATTTGTACTCATGGATTTAAACATGTTTTTGCTTCAAATCCAAAGTGTATAAAAAAAAAAAGAAAGCTCTACAGCAAACACTATATGCTCATTTGCAGTGGCAACTCTTCTGTGACCACAATGCTAAATAAAAATCTCTGAAGTGGATGAGAAACAGAGTTTAATTTGACTTTATAAAAAAAAGACAATAATTCTCAAGCAATAACAACCAACCTCATGACTTGCACACATAAAAGTCTCGATTTTGTGGAGCTGAAGTGTGCGATCGCAAAGCTCGTGTAATAAAGGTAGTGTGTTTGTGGTCTACGTTTATGCCCAGCTCATTTGCTCTCACGCTTGTCTTGGTTAATCTAAGTCTACATTTAGACTTTAATTGAGTGTCTTAAAGCAAGTTGCAAAAGCCTTCATTTTTACACCAAATACACATTAACTTTTGCTTAGACATCTGAAAATATCTAAGCAAACAATTCAAAACATCAAGATTTGAGTTGTTTTAAGACCTCTTCTTTGTTCTTGGCCCCTCCTGTACCAGAAATGATCTTTAGCTTCTAGGACCGACTAATCTGGATTTAACTTATAGGAGACATCAAGGGAGTTGCCTACTGCTGGCAACACATTAAGTGCTCATCCCCTTTCAACAAAACCATCAAACTATCCCTTTGAATTTAAACCTCATCCTTACAGGATGTTGCATATTCCTTCCTGGTGGATTAAAAACCACCCAACAAAATACATTTTAACTTCATTGTGTGAGCAGAAGAAGAGTTCTGCTTGTCTTTTGTTTGTCTTTCCTCTTCCGACCCACATTGGAGGTGGATGTACATCCTGCTGTGAAAACGTCTTTTTAATGTGTGTTTGTGAACTTGTTGTCAGAACCACCACCCAGCTCTTTAAAGGTGACGTAAAGAAACTTGAATCATATTTGATGTGATGCATCAGAGCATAGATAAAAAAAAAGACTAAATGTAAACAAATAATCAAATAGTTACCATATTTAATGAGAGCATTAATTCTATTGTTTGCGTCTCTGACAGTTTAATGGGTTCTGAATTCTTGAATACAAAGAGAATAGCAGTGTTTTTAGACTAAAGCGTTGCAGTAACAATGTGTTAAAATATCTCACGAGAATTTGCTTTTTTTAATTATAAATGAATAAAAAAGGACGTTGCTCTGTAAAGTGAGAAGTTGGAGTCTTACAAACAGCTGCCAAGTGCAGCAAATTCCTCTCTCAACAGAAATTCAGGAAGTCACAAAAGGCAACTCACAATAAAAGCGTGCTTTCCTGTTTCTCTTCCTTTTTTAAATTTTACGTTTCTCTCTGCGACAGAATGTCATTTTTGGACCTAATAAGGACATTTTCCTTTCAATAACTAATTATGCTCAAAATATAAGAAATATTGAGCAGAAAGAAAAAAAATAATTTCACTATGTGGTGGTGGCATTTACCTGAGTTTGGATTTTACTACATACTCTGCGTCCTTCTCTGGTTTATTGCTGTATGTTGGCAAGTTTCCAACATGCCCAGCTGTCCTAAAAACAACAAATCGACAAAAAGAAAACCAAATGAAGGTATTTATTTGATCAGTCACAACGTGTTTTCTTGTAAATGAAACAATTGGCTAAAATAGGCTGAATATTCCTGCTGTAAAACGTTTTACACTCCCAATTTGGTGCTCCGTTTTAACTTTGACATTTGGAACTTTTCAGTTCCAGTTCAGAAACCCAACTGGAAAGTCACAAACTTTGAGTTAGACTTCGGACATCTTTGGAAACTCAGATTCACAATTCGGCTGCCCGACAGTAATTAAACGCTCACTCACATTTCCACTGCAAATCGTCAACTCACGTACATTCAGAATAAAGATCAAAAGTGAATCAGTAAATATGTTGCTGTAGTGATTAGTGATCAAGATAATGATAGCCTGTCTGTTTCTTCGTGCACAAACTGTGAGGAAATCCGACAGGTTTTCCAACACGACACTAGAATACTGTCAACTTTAATAAAAAACATTAATAAAAAAAAACAATTCTGTTTCCCAGGATAAAAAAAATCCCCTCAAAATAACTAAACAGTAAATCACATGGTTATTGTGTTCCACTTGCTTCAACTTGCTTCACACTTGGTTGCTGTTACATCTGTATTTCCACCTTTTTTTTAAAAGTTTTAACTCAAGTAAAAAAGGATAAAATATCACTTCTTAATTTGAAAACAAGAATGAAAAAAAATCTTTTTTTGCAGGTTGGGTAATGATTTTTAATCAAATATAAATAACTTAAAATCACACTGCAGGATGTTTTGTACTTGTCACAGATAAAATCTGCCTGGAAGTCCTTAAGTTTTGTCCACATTCATTTAATGCACATCAATGTATCCACCCTCAACACATAAATACATGCATACTCTGTCCTTTTTCATAACACTGAGACCATCAGCACTCAGAGAACTACAAAGAACACTGTAGTTAAAGCTCCATCTCCAAAGGACAGATCTGCATGAGTTTTGCCACCATTTCAGTTGCCCATAGTGTTTAAACTGTTTACCCATCAAACACACCTAAATCCAACAGCTGAAGCACACCACTGACCTGTTTGCTCTGGGAGTGGGCTGTTGTTGCTGTTAAAGCCGATCTCTTGTCAGAGGTGGCTGTTACACACATTTGCATCCACAAATAATTGCAGGACCAGCAGACATTTGGTCAGATTAGTCTGTTTGTGCTGAAGCAGGATCTGTGTTTAACTGGATTTGATACGGGCAACCAAAAACACTTTCTTTTCAGTCAGAGAACCTACACTTAATCTCTATAGTACAATTCAGTAGGAACACACACACATTGTCTATTGTGAATGAAGATTGTTAAAGAAGATGGTACTGTAATATAATTGAGCTTGTTAGCCTGAAAAAAGTGAATTCCTATTTTTAAAAATAACCATTTTAAAAGAACATGTTTGTGTCTCACTGGGTTGATATGTAACTTTCCTAATGTGAAGTACGAAAGCAAGCCTGAAAATACAGTTTTTAACCAACAAAGAGAGTTTTGAAAACACATAAGAGTTGTAAATCATTTGAATGGACGTTGTTACTCAGACAACACTGGTTTGATGGAGGACGGCTGTGAAACCCTCAGGTGGACGGTGTTTTTTTTTTTTTCTCAAAAATCCAAAATCCATAAATGTAACCAGAATCTTATCGAGATTCATTTCTTGACAAGAATGTTCAACGCAAAAATACAAACTTAAATAAAAGAACTGGCGAATAAAGTTATGAGGTTTTGAACAGAAACGACTTTGCCAAGAAAAACGGTTTGTTCGATTTCAACTTGTGAATGGGATGTTCACCATTGGGACTATTTAGTTTAGCTTTGTTAGGTCTGTTTTCTTTCTCAGATCCTCAACAAGATATTGAAAACTGGGGCTCTAATTGAATCTTTTGTCTGTAATAATAACCCTTTTCAGACTGTTACACTTGCCAACATTTTCTCAACTGAGGAAATAAATCAAAAAAAGCGAAACCAAACAAACTGCAAAGCCGAAGCTGGAATCAAGCAGCTCTAACTCCCCTTGCTAAGTTCTTGAGCTGAACAAAGATCGAGTGACTAGATGTTGAAGGATTTGATGGTTAGAAGGAATAAAACGTGCATTTGTTTCAAAGTTTTTTTTTTTAAACTCTCACTTGCAAACACTCAGAGGAGTCCAAACAAAGGCCTCTTCTCAGTGAAGTGCCCGAGGCTGAGTGTAGAACTGAGCAGGATGGGATGAACAGTGTGTGAATCACGCTTGGTTCCCAGACGCACATTAGCTCCACATCTCACCTCCCCCTCCTGTTTGCCTCGTTGCTTCAGTCTCTGACGACCTCAAAGAGGTCAGTCTGCTTTTGTTTCACGTGAAATGCTAAAAATTCAAAAGCTGAAAGTAAAAAGGAGTCATCTGTTTGTTTTTACTGGAAAATATTTGTTTACTCTGTTGAGTTTTGGTGCATCAGTGCAGAATTTGAAGGCTGTGGCTGGAAGGCAGACAATATTAGAGTGCTTTAATCTTGACTGAATCGCTTTTGTCAGGAAATGTTTGCAGAATGACACCTCAGTCCAGAACATCAGAACAAAAACATATGAAGTTGCTCACTGGGATGCTGTTGTTGCCTTACTTTAGCAAAAATCTGAAAAGCTTGTATGTTTAAGGGTGTCGTATCACCACTTTTATAACTTTTTCTTTTCAAATGTGCTTAGGCTTGTATCTTGCAGCTGTTATTTGAATTTGTATTTTTAAAGTCAAGGAAATAATAATAATAATAATAGCTGAGGGAAAAAGGCGACTGCAAGGCAGTCGTGGACACACACATGGAACAATTGACTGCTTGTGATTAATTATTTGATTAGAGAAACTAACATCCTGGCAGCATTAAAGTTGGCTCTTATTCAGACAAGTATTGTATGCATGATATTTGCTGGGATGTGCTGGAACTCCCATTTGCCCCCAAAAAGATGATTGTATGTCTGTGGTGTTTAAAACTAAAAACAGCAAATGGCTACAGTGGTAGCATGTTTTGCTGAGAGTAGTTATTAATTTGTTAAATGCCTGGTTGACATCAGCAGCAACTTAGAATTTGCTTAATGTTATTGTTGTTTTAATGTTAGTGTAAACCTTTTGCCTTATTCAGAAACCAGCTGTTGCAGAAAGCAGCAGAAGAGA